TAGATTGGGAAATGGATAGGAAAATAATTTATCCAAGCCCATAAACAGGCTGGGATTACAGTAGTTACAAAAAAGGATCGGAGTGACAACAAAGTTTTGAAAAATAAAATATATTAGGGATGCACCGATATATCGCCCTCCGAAACATATCGGCCGAAAAAGGCACTTTTGGCTAAATGCGGGACGAGCGATGTGAGCGGTCGGTGTTTCTCCTCCCACACCGCTCAGCCGCCTATCACAGTGCTGTGTGGGGGCGGAGACAGCGCTGTCACAGGAGCCTGGGTTCTCCTCTTGCACCGCTCACTCAGCCTCCTGTGACAGCGTGTCAGAGAGGAGAGAGGCTACAAACACTCAGCGATCAGTGAAAGTAATTCTGAATAAGATATAAACGGCTCAAAAAGAAGCACCCATTTTGATGGAAATCCGAACTTCAATTCAATCCCTATACAAGTCCCAGTATTTTGAATGCAGCCAAGGATAGATACAATTGTAAGCACCTGGATTGGAATAGGGGGGGCACTTCAGTTCAGTGATCCCTAAAGACAGTCTCTAACCCAGAGCTATGCAAGCTCATTCGTTGCTACTTATAATGATTTTACGTTCAAACGGGTTCGCTTTGAATCTCTGAGCATTTAGGATCACTGACAGTCCTGTCCGTGTCATTACCCCCGCACATCGTACCTCCAATTTGCAATTGCACAGATGTATCTCCTCAGCAGTCCTCAGTGCAAATCCAGGCGGTTAACATATTGGGAAATGGGATGCTATCTTTATTAATGCTATCTTGGTTTACTGTTGGTTTGAAAGTTGTAACTAGGGATGCACCGATACCACTTTTTTAAGACCGAGTACGAGTACCAATACTTTTTTTTTTCCAAGTACTCACTGATACCAATTACCAATACTTTTTCTTATAAAAAGTTGACAACTTTTTCAATAATCGATTATAATCGATTATGTCGATTAGTTGTTGCAGCCCTAGATACAAGCCTTAGCAATGGCATGATAAATATTCATTTAATTTATTATTCAATGTCTTTTTTTATATTATAAAGTTTATAATATTAAAAAGACATTGAATAATAAATGAATATTTAGATCATGCCATATTGCTAACTAAGGCTTGTATCCCCCTAGTGGGGCAAATAGATGAGCACATGTCCAGACTCCAAAACACTGTATTGTATAGTGTGGCACAGCCATATCCAATGCTGCATACCTGGCTTTATATTATAAAGTTTTTATAATATAAAGGCAGGTATGCAGAATTGGATATAGCTGTGCCACACTATACAGTCTTCTGAGTTTGGACATGTACCCATCTATTTTCCCCATTAGGGGGATACAAGCCTTAGTTGGCAATGGCAAGATCTACTTATTAATTTCATTATTTAATGTTGTTTTTTTTTTTTTTTTAAATATAAAGTTAAACAACAACATTTACAGGCATACAGTAATACCTTGGTTTACAAGTAACTTGGTTTGAGAGTGTTTTGCAAGACAAGCAAACATTTCTGAAAAATGTTGCCTTGATATACAAGCAATGACTTGCAATAAGAGCAACATTTTGTAGAAAAGCACCACCCAAATAAGGCTGTAGCAGTGCGAGCGATGAGTCTGTTTAACGACAATGCAATGTCACATTGGATATATTCCTTGTTAAGGTTTCACGAAATGAAAAAGATTCCATTGAGTCAAGAGATAGCAGGGATTCTGTTAGTGATAGTGAAAGTTGGCAAACACAATAATCCTCCTCTCTCTTGTCCCTCTCACACCGGCCACTAAGGTACCGGTAATTGGTTAATTTTTCTTTATATTTTGTACGGTATTATATTACAGTACAGTATTGTAATCATTTTATATGAATATTTTTGAGTTGTGGAACGAATCATCTGAATTTCCATTATTTCCTATGGGGAAATTCGCTTTGCTATACAAGCGCTTTGGATTACAAGCATGCTTCCGGAACGAATTATGCTCGTAAACCAAGGTGTTACTGTATATTATTTTTGTTCCATGTGCCCAGCCCCCATGCGGTGCCGCAGTGCTTACCTGCTGTGTTGTCTCCGTCTCCTTCAGCCACTCCGTGTCACAGCCTAGTCATCTGCTCCATGCTGGCCTCTTCTTCCGCTGATTGGATGATTGACAGGCTTCCTCACCAGTCAGGAGTGAGGACTTGGAGGCGGAGTTAACGTTCGTCCATTCGCCCGTGGAGGAGGAGTTCACGGCCATCTTGTTTGATTGCAGACACTATGGAGGTCCTGTGTGCGGCGGTTTCATGTCCTTGAAGATGGCGGACGCGGCACAGGTACTCGTTTTAGGTATTGGAGTATTAGTACGAGTACTCATGCAAATACTTGGTATTGCCGCCGATACCGATGCTTGTATCGGTGCATCCCTAGTTGTAACCAAATGTTGCTAGGGATTTAGGGTGTGATGAATAGAAAGCAGGAAAATGGCTGTACTTTGTTTCAAGCTGTATTTATAGTGTCTTGTGGCCACCCAAGTTTTGACTGCCTGCTGTATGCTGATCTTCGGACTTGGCGATGAGCCAGTCCTGATCTTGTCCAGAGTGTCCTCACACAACCCCTTACACTGTAGTCAGGAGAGCGTAGATTGCTGTACAGAGAGTCTGAAATGACCTGTCCTCCCAGCCTGTCTGACAGGATGACATTTGGACACTTATCCCTTGGGTTGGTGAAGAAAGATTGACACTTTATTGCAGAGCATTTTCTGTGATTGCTGACCTGACACTGAGCACACTTATTAAAATGAAATAAGTGCTGCACTCAATCTCTTGTACATCCTTTAAAATAAACAATATATCTGTAACACAAAACCACACATTGTAATTTCTAAAAGACATAAATGCCAAACTTGTATATAAATATTAGAGGTGCACCGAAATGGAGATTTCAAAACCGAAATAAAACAAATTGTCAGGCCGAAACCGAAAATGTATTTTATTTTTATTTGTTTACAAACTTCTTTCATTTTTTTTAATTAATTTTTTTAATTAAATATTTTTATTTTTAGGATCTTCGGGAAATATTAGGAGTCTAAACAGACCCCTGATATTTCCCTTTTTAAAATAGAAAAAGAGATTGAGGACACAGAGTCCTCAATCTCTTTTTCTGATGCCTCTGTTATAAATGAACAGGAATCCTCTGAGTGTTCCTGTTCATTAATAGCTTGAGAACTTTGTGTGTTTTACAATTATGAATGAACAGGAGGGGATGTAGATCACTTCCCATTCATTCATAACTGAGGCTATAGTGAACATACCATGTCCTCAATTATCTACAAACACTCAGCGATCGCTGAAAGCTCGCACAGGAGCTCTGCCTCCTGTGACAGCACAGGCTTTCTCCGCCCACACACCGCTTTGCCGGACTTTGATAGGAGGCTTAGTGGTGTGGGCGGAGAGGCGCCGGCCGCTCGCAGCACTCGGCCGCCGGTCACACTTTCTCTCCTCCCTGCTGGAACACAGAGCAGCGCCAAGTGGGGAGGAAATAAACCAGGGATGCGCCACTGTAGATGGACTGTACATTAAAAAAAAAAAAGGTCATGGAGAGCTTTTCTGTTACGTGTATTGGATACTATTGGCCAGGCAGCTACATCCACCAAACCTCCCAAAATAATTGTTGACTGAATAGTGACTGCTTCCAGGCAGTATCAGGAAGGGACAGGGCAGATTCCTCCATCCATGCCAGTTTGAAAAATCCTAAAGTGAATGGCCATGTTTAACCCCTTCATGACTGAGGCCTTTTTTCCATTTTTTGCACCCATGTTATATTCCACATTTTAGGCCTGAAAATTACTTAAAACCCCCAAACATTATATATTTTCTGAATGCCAAGACCCTATAGAATAAAATGGTGGTAGTTGAAAATTTTTATGTTGCGCAATATTAGCGCAACTCCTTATTAAACCCCAAAATTTAGTGACAAATTTAATTAAATGCCCCAGAACACAATAAAATACTCATTTTTTTAAAAAAAAGGAATATAAAAGATGAGGTTACAACGAGTAAAACGATACCCAACATGCCCTGTGTACAAAATGCGTGCGTCCGTGAAACGGCGAATAACTGCAGTACCCCAAAAAGTCCATAGACGCTTTAAAAGCCACCACAGGTCATCAATTTTAGAGATAACCCAAAATACTGGCCCTAGAATTATTGCTCTCACTCCGGCGTGCGCGGCGATACCCAACATGTGTAGCGCATTCGTCGTTTTCATACGTAGGCGCAGCCAACGCGTATTTACGTGGCGACGCGCGTGCTCGCGGGGGACTTAAAATTTTTTTTTTTCATTATTATTAGATTTATTTTATTCAATTTTAATTTAAAAAACTGGTTTTGTTTTTTTTTTACTTTGACTGCTATCACATGGGGGGGCTTACAAGCCCCCCCATGTGATAGCAGATGGTGGTGACAGGTACTCTTTAAGGTAATGCTGGGGGTCCAAAAGACCCCCAGTGTCACCTTTACACTGGAAATAAGCTATTGAAGTGCAGATCGCACTTCAATAGCTTATAGCTGGGCTGCAGGAGCCCAGAACTGACAGCCCAGGGACCGGAAGTGATGCAATCTGCATCGCTCCCGGTCCCATAGAACGGGGAGGGGATCGATGAACGGAAGTTCGTCGACCTCCTCCCCAGCTCCCCGCGGACACAAAGATCGCCGGTCCCGGGCCCGTAGGAGGGGCAACGGAGCCCGGGAAGCACGGCGGGGGTGTCCGGCGGGGGGGGGGGCCCCTTCTTCGGGACGCAGAAGCGATCTGGCGACAGGTAAGTCGCCAGGATCGCTTCTGTTGTAAAGCCGACAGTCGGCTCTACAAGTTTAAACAGAGTCCCGGCGGCAAAAGTCACCGGGAGTCTGTTTAAACAGCCCCGATGCTGGCGACGTACACTGTACGTCGTCAGTCACGAAGGGGTTAAAGAGAAGATCTTTCCCTGTGGATTCCATGGTTTCTAAGTAAATGTGCAGCTGTTTGTTTTGTATAGATTTCCTCTGTGACGCTTGTTCAGGATTGTTTCATGATAGTAAGCTGATTGAGCTTTCTGTTTTCTATTTCAGGTTAAAGGTCCAGGAATAGGCCTTTTTGGTCATTCTAAAGGTGGAGATTTGGTGCTTTCTATGGCTTCCTTCCTTAAAGGTATAACTGCTGCAGCTGTTGTAAATGGATCTGTAGCCAACGTCGGTGCTGACCTTCACTACAAGGACATCACCCTGCCCGCTCTTGTCTTTGATCCACAAAGGATTAAATTCCCAAAGCCAGGAGTGGGCGATATCAGGGACGTGCTGAACAATCCACTAGAAGAACCTAATCGACAGAGCCTTATTCCTGTTGGCAGGGCAGATTGCAAGTTGCTGTTTATCGTTGCAGAAGATGACAGGAACTGGAAGAGTGACTTTTTTGCCCAGGCTGCCTGCAAACTTTTGGAAGAGCAAGGGAAAGAAAAGCCAGAGGTTGTGTACTATGCCAAAGCTGGACATTATATTGAGCCTCCTTACTTCCCACTGTGTAAAGTTTCCGTGCATAAGCTTGTTTCTCTTCCAGTTATTTGGGGAGGAGAGCCAAAAGAGCACTGTTTTGCACAAGTGGATTCTTGGCAGAGAATTCAGGCTTTCCTCCTCAAGCACTTAAATCAGGAAAGCTCCTCAAGTAAACTATGAGGATGATACAGTATCAATGCTATCGTTTAACTATCCTTCCCAAAACCATATGTACTTAATGTAACGATAGTATTCTGCATACTACCCGATTTGTTTTATGTTCTATCTTATATATTATAAATCTTTCTCTACATTTACATCTTGATTAAGCTGTCCAGCAAAAGGAAGTGTCAGGAATTGGAGCAAACCATAAAGTTACCGAGGATGCATGAGCGGGTTACTGCAACAGCGAATAAAAGACGACCTGGCAATGGTATAGTTGATCCCATCTCCTGGCTTAATGGCTGGTCAGTGTAGTTTCCATGTAAATGTGGAGAAAACATGTTCAACAGTTGCAATCAATTTCTATAACTGCAGGTTTTAACCACATACAGTTATCAGAATACAGTATTTTCTGTAATAGCGGCTCATTGAAGAAAAACTCCGGCCAGTTAAAAAAATAATTACCGCTTGCAGTGGGGGTACCTCCACTTTGGCAGGTTAGACCAACGGAGCCCGGGGTGAAAAGTCTTGTAGCCAGGTGGGACCAAGGATCGGGTGAGTATATCCTTTTCATTTTAGACTCTAGACCAAAACGAGCAGTTTACCCTTGCAGTGCGGAGGTAACCCCACTGCAAGGGTTAAATTTTTTAAACTGCTTGGATGTCTAAAAAGAAGACCTCCACCAGTTCTGCCAAATAGTGGCAGCCTTTGTGTATGATCTTTTGCAACGGCAAGGTGAAGATCCAGCCTGTAACTATCTTCTATTGATCGCACCCCTCTCGCCACTGCTTTTTCTTTGAAGGCTTGATGCGTATGCGAGAGGCTTTCTGGACTTTCCACAACTTGACAAGAGAAAGTAGCAGTGCATCAAGTGAAGGTTATAGAAGCGTCTTCACACTTGTACCGTAAAAGTAGATACAGTTATGACACAGATTGGCCATATCCTCCTCCACCTAAAAAGTAGTTAATACTTGAAGTGGAGATTGTCTAGTAAATACTGTATTTTTCGCTCCAAAAGAAGGAGAAGTGTGAGTCGCTGCTCGTTTAATACAAGTGATCTAATTAGATCACTTGTATCAAATCAAGCGGCGATCGTCTTCCCGATTTGTTTTAATACGGTAGCTCATATAATGGAAAACATGCTCAGAGGCCAATTTATAAAGTAGGCAGGAACCACAGTATTCACGTTGCGCTCTGCATTTTAAGAGTGATTCCTGAAATTTGAGGCCCTGCAAAGAGTATTCTTTGCATAATGCTATAAAGAGCACTTTGTGAGTGGAGGAGAGGCTGGTCATGTGACCAGGCTTTCCTTTTCTGTTTTCTTTCCTTCTTTCCAGTCCTTCATTTTAGAGTCCCAAAGCAAGCAAAGTGGAGGGACATTTGTAAAACTTAGAACTGGACTGAGATTGTGGGGGGAGATTAAGGCCATCCTGCATCTTAAATCGTCCCATGGTTGATTTTCATTTGGCTCAGCTGTGATAGCCCTGTGTGATCCTGCGATCGTAAGATAATCGTAAGGTTGATGGGCAGCGTGCGACCCCGTTTACTGTACGATTTTCGTATAACGAGCACGCTAGAAAACCCGCCGAAAATCGTTCGATTTTTGGTGGGTTGGTATCGCGATCGCAAGACGAAAGCCGCACGGCCCGAGGTGCGCAAGCACGCATTGCCTGCTTACCATTGCAATCTGCAAGCCTTCCCCTCAGCGGGGAGGTCTTGTGATGATCGCAAATACGATCTTCATGTCCATGATGGGCAGGTTGTACAAACTTTTAATCACCTTACAACCATCGCACAACGAAAGTCGTGCGATGGTTGTAAGGTGTATGGGCACCTTAACAGTTCATGTTTTTTCATTGTAGGTACATAATTAGTAACTTATGTAAGAGAAGACATAACTATTTTGACTTTGTGCAATCACTGAATGGATATGCTGACATAGGGCCTCTAGGACTGGATTTGAGCCATAATGTTAAAGATTAACTTCTGCAAAGAACACTTTTTCTCCTTTCAGGGACTGGATGAGTAAGTGACTAAGTACAGTTTTATGGTGTTAGTGAGTTCTCGAACATTTGCCTTTTTTATTTTAACTTACTTGAAGGGTCAGCTTGAATTCTTATGTTCTTAAATATGAATTCTAAGCTAGAATTATAAATGCACTATAATTGGGCACTTTTATAGTTGTCCAATAACATTTTCAATTCTTATAGATGTAACAGTGTAAGATAGTATTTCTATACATGGAAAAGTTCTGGTATGACAATGCACTTAATAGGATAGATTGATTCCACCTGTCATAAATAGTCCACTTTTTAGCAACAGATTATAGTGTACCTGTAATGTACTTTGACAGTGTAAGCTGCCAACTGAGTATTAAAGAGAAAAGGGTGTGCTCAGAGCTTTAAGCCATAATGTGCTAGTATGTGCAGCATATTAGCACTCTATGGCAGACATTCCTGCCAATCGAACCCCTCCAGTGCTACAATTCTCTCTCTCGCCGCCACTTCCATCTTTGCCCCTGATCTTCTTCCGGGTTTTCAGTTCTGAGCTGCTTAGTTGGCTGGGCCCTGATGATATTACTCCCGCACATGTGCACAGGAGTTACTTCATTTCGGCGGGCCAGATCTGTGCACTAAGCTGCCCATGCGCAGCTCAGTATACCAAAAAGAAAATTGCTGTATGACAGTTAGAAGCTTTTATGGCAGAAGAGACTTGTACTGTCTTCTATTATAGCCTCTGGTTGGCAGTAGTTTTTTTTTCCCCAATGCAGGCAGCCAGAGCTATTTTCACATGCCTGCCTCTGTCTTCTAGAGCAGCTCTGAAAAGGGTACTCTATTATGCAAGCACTAACTTTGCCAAGGCGTTTAGCACATCAGCTCTCCTGTCACCATTGGGCCCCTAGCTTACTGACCAATTGTGAAGTTGGAGTTTGAATATATTCTCTGTGAATCTCCCCATAACCCAAAAAATGCAGCGTGTAGGTTTCTGTCTGAATTTGCCATAGAGGGAGTGTGTACGCGCTTGTAATTGGATCATTAGACTGTAAAGCTGGCCATACACTATTCTATTTTTTTTTTTTCCATTCAACCCGTGGGCAGATTCCTCCATCATTGCTACAAACACGTTGATCGAGGAATCCCCGCTGTTTCCTTTTGTATTCTGACATCGGCTGCCAGCCACTGTCGGAATACGTGAACAGAGCCTGCAACTCATTGGCTGCCAGCTCTGTTCGTGTGAAGATCAAGGGATGCCGGCTGAAAGGGTGCTGACGGCACCCACTGTGGGAATTTTGGCTGGTTCCTCAAGAACCACCCGAAATTCTCAGTGTATGGCCATGTTAAGTTACTTTGAGATAGTGGCATGAAGCGCATGGTGCAGACCTCTGTGTATTGCAAATGTGGGTTATAATAAACCCAGAGGATGAAGGCAAAGGTGGCAGAGAGGCTTGTTCAGACATCAGTTCATCCATATGCACATACAACAGACTGAAGGTTTTAAATATTGTTTTATGTTTTGTATAATTTTAAATACCATACTTATCTATCCCGCTTGCTTGTTACCACCACCAGTGAATGTAGCTCTTGCACAATTGCTAAAATAACTTTCTGCATTTTGGGCTTTTAAAATGAATTTGTCTGAATTTATGGCAACAGTGCTGTTTCTGCTCAAGGTTGGTTTACGTTTTACTTAACTGTTAGCAAAATAAAGTTTTATTAAACAGTTTTGAAAACAGAATCATGTTTTTTTATTTATTTCCAGCATCAAATGTCCAGCGCAGAGAACTCTCCTGGTACGAAAAACAAATATACAAACTTTAGGGGCCAGGAAATCAGCATTTTCAGAATCAGGTTGCCGTGCAGTCTCCATATTTATATCAGTACAAGGCCTTTTGAGTATTTATCTGTCTTTACAGCTTCAAGTGCTATGAAGTCTCCTCAAGAATTTCCTACCTTTGCTGTGTGGCCGGAGCTGTCTTGTTATCTCAAAATTCCCAAATAAATTGGACTGCTACCAAATTATGACCTGAAGTATCAGCCTGAGCAATGCTAGGAGGACATATTGGTCTTTCTGTTGGCGCTCCCCAGAAGGGCGTCCTTTTACACACTGGTGGCTCCATCACTTCCATCTTAAACACAATGACGAACATATATAAAACAATTGGCAACACACAATGTGCTTCATCTCATTCAGAAAAATCTATGAGGCCAGTTTTCAGTGCATTTGCTACCCCTTTGACTGTAATTTGAAAATAGTTGATTTTTTTTTTTTTCTTTGAAATGCCTTTTGTCGACAGTTGGGTGCAAAATTGTCAGCCGAACAGTGAGCAGCGTTTGGGTATTCAGACAGCAGCGGGCGCTGACTCAGAATGCAATAGGAGGAGGAGATTTCCCCTCATCCAAGTTGTTTAGCATGGGTGGTGGAATCAAATGACCTCTCTTTCAGCTGTGGGGTTGAGCAAGAAAAATCTTAGTGTATGGCCAGCCTTAGGTCCCATTCACACCACATCATCTCCAGACCAGATTGTTTCCGGACCCAAAATGCATCCTAATGTATGCCTATGCTATTCCTGGCCTCTGTTCACACCAGCGCAGTCTGTTCCAGACCAGAAAAATACTGCATGTCTTAATTTTGTCTGGTTTGGAATGCACTGAACTGCGGGCAGGTTCACACCATTTTCCGGACCAGATCTAGTTTGGAAAATGGTGCGAGCCTGCCCTTAAGCTGGCCATACACTTATATATCTGCAGATTTTCTATGCTCAGATGGAAAAAGTGCAACAGATTCCTCCATCTATGCTAAACTGTGTGGATGGAGGAATCTCCCACTGGGCTAAGCTTCAGTATCTTGCTAGTCGGCCCCGCTGGCTGTCAAAATACCTGAGTGAATGCAGGCACTGTTCAGGTATTTTGAGAGCCAACGGGGACAACTAGCAAGTTACTGAAGCTTGTCCCAGTGGGAGATTCCTCCAGCCACACAGTTTAGCATGGAGGAATCTATTGCACTTTTTCCATCTAACCACAGAAAAAAATCTGCAGATAATGTATAGGTGTATGGCCAGTATTACTGTGCAACTGAATTGATAAATGTCCCCCATGAATAGATTTTGTTTAAGGGCTGGCAGATTGCTAGGAAATTCGCTTGTCCTGTCAGAACCCATGTTACTGTCCGTTTCCTCTTACTTTCTGTGCTGGAGACACAAGATATGAGAAGAAAAAAAAAATCTCCCACAAGGTGAGAGGAACCCCTATCTTTGACCGTTGTCACACAGGGACATTGTCATCATTGGAGGATCTCTCTCTTCAGCTACTGAACAGAGGCAATGAAACATTCACTAACCCAAAAATGTAAGAGTTAGTCTACCAAGCTGGGACAGTAGCAGTAAAAAACTTTTTAAAAGGTTTTAATTCTGCTCCACTCTTATCTAAACCCAGAAACATTTTGACTTAAAGTGCTCTATGAAGCCATTTAAAAGATTGCTAACAGGTAGCTTTATATGGTGAAAAAGACTCTGGGGGAATTTATCAAAACTGGAGCAGCTGTGCACGGCAACCAATCAGCTTCTATCTTCAGTTTGTTCAGTTAAGATTTGAAAAAGAAAGATGTTGATTGGTTTCCAATGCTCTAGATTTTGCTCCAGGTTTGATACATTCCACTCTCTGTATAGGTGCCCATGCACTGCTCGATTCTCGTACGAGAATCGAGCAGTGTGAATGAAGACGTGCGACCGTTTCTACTGTACGGTTGCACGTCTTTTGTCTACGGAACACGCTAGAAAACCAGCCGAAAATCGTACGATTTTCGGCTGGTTTGAACGGTGCTCGGGAGACAAATGCCGAATGGGCCGGTGTGCGCACACTGCCCGTTCAGCATTGCGGTCATCAGAGGCCCGCCCCTCAGCGGTGCAGGCTTGCGATGATCGAGAGTACGATCTGCCTGTCCAAGATGGGCAGATCGTATGTTTTTTAAATTACTTTACAACCATTGCAAGACTAAGGTCTTGCGATGGTTGTAAAGTGTATGGCCACCTTGAGTCTCTTCTCCCATAAATTACTCTTCCCTGTCTGCTAGAATTTTTTTTCTAATGGTACACTGAGCCACTCATGCTGCCGGCCAATAAAGGTGGCTGAAGACTTTGGACCGACTTCTTGTGCAGAGAACCCATCTGCACTCCTACCTCAATCTACATAAAACATGAGCAGCCAGCATCCAAATGAAATACTCAAAAACATAAACATATAAACATCAGTACAGTGCGATATACCTGTGAAAATGTGTAACGAGAAAGCAAATCCTAAATAAAGGTTATTTGTTCCAAACATCCATTGTGTCATAAATGTCTTCACCTGTAATTGCATTCCCATATAAAATGTGTTGCAAATATAATAAAGTTAATAACAATGAGGTCCATGTGTGTCTCAATGAATAGGTTTCTTGTATCTGTTTTCATGTAATACTTCATTATGGCCACTAGATTGAGGTCCTTTAGCTCCATCAGTGGCCATAATGCGACATTACATAATAACATTTGAACATTCATTGCACTTGTAAAGATAAAAGCTAAAGAATGTTTGTTTTGGCATATATTTACACACAGCGAATGTTCACAGATATTCACAGGGCGAACGGCCCTATTGTTTATAAATAGACCCTTTAGCAGTTCTCTCCAGTCAGCAGGGGTGAGCCATAGAAACCCATCGATTCCTCTATCCTCGCAAAACAGCATGGATGGAGGGATTGCATTCGGCAGCTGCTGCTGCAGATTAAAAGTATTTCAAAAACAGCCTTTGAATTGACATGTTAAAGTGACACTAAACTCAGGATTTAAATCTTAAAAGTGCATTTAAATATCCTATCTATTAACAAAAATTTATCTTATTTGTGTATCACTCGGCTGCAGATCCTCAAATCATCTCTGAATTGGTGCTGACACCGTCCTTTCTTTCTGGAGTGTGGTTACTTTTGTTCCCCATGGTCCCTGTGTGTGTTGTGAAGTAGTCACAGCTCCAAGCTCACTTCTGTGATGGACTACAATCTCATGATCAGTTTACTAATTTATATTGAGATTGTAGTCCATCACAGGAGCGAGCTTGGAGCGAGGATCTACAGTCGAGTGATACACAAATAAGCTTACATAGTTAAGGGACTTGAATTCATTTTAAAGATTTATAATTACATGCATGTGTTTATATTATTTTATATGCATTTATAGGACATTTCCAATCACATAAATGCATGTAATGATGTAAAGTCAGCAAATACTCACCCCTGCTCAAGTAATGTGATGTCCACAAGTTCCCTCGCTGATGCTGACATCTTTTTCCTGGGCAACGGGTCTTTGGCTTTCTTGAGAGTTCATGCATCCCAGCACAGAGGCATGGGCAGCTCAGTGTACATTCTATAAAGGAAAGCCAGGTATTTTTGTGCCTTGTTGCGCTGGGGTCCCCGGTTCGAATCCCGGCCACGTCACTCCAAGGAGTTTGCATGTTCTCCCTGTGCTTGTGTGGGTTTCCTCTCACACTCCAAAGACATGCTGGTAGGTTAATTGTCTCCTGTCTAAATTGGTCCTGTATGTATGCATGCGAGATAGGGACCTTAGGGGAACCTTAAGGGGAAGGGACTGATGTGAATGCACTTTGTAAAGTGCTGCGTAAATTGTCGGCGCTATATAAATACCAATAATACATAAATAAGAGACATGAGGTGTCTCTGCTTCAATAAAAGGCAATAAACCCATGCAAACATGCAAAAACTCACGTACACACCACCTCATCTATGCCCATAGCCCTCAGCTTGTGTAGCAAGCGTTTGTGTGGTGTTATAGCAATAAAGTTACGTGAAAAAGAATAAAATAAAAACCAATCCCGCCATCTGCATGTGAATGAAAATGCATGTGTAGGGCATGCACGTGTAAATGGCGAATGCACGACACCTTAGGTATCACCGTGAATGTCGGAGTGAGAGCAATGTAAATAAATGAAAAATAAAAACCAACCCCCGCCATCGGCATGTGAATGAAAATGCATGTGTAGGGCATACACTTATAAATGGATATTGCACCACACGTTAGGTAACACCGTGAATGTCAGAGTGACAGCAATACTTGGTCCATAATTCACTGTTAACTTTAAACTAATGAGAAGTAAGGCTTTTAAAGCATCGCCTATGGACAGTTTTGAGTACTATAGTTTTTTAGCCATTGCACGGGCGCACACTATTTTAGCGATTTACAAGTTTTGGTATCTATTTACTTTGAGGGGAATTTATCAAAACTGGAGCAGACAAAATCTGGAGCAGCCGTGCATGGCAACCAATCAGCTTCTCTCTTTCATTTTCAAATCTTAACTGAACAAACTGAAGAGAGAAGTTGATTGGTTGCCATGGGCAACTGCTCCAGAATTTGTCGGCTCCAGTTTTGATAAATTCCCCCTAAAGGAATTATCTTTTATATTTGACTAAATAATGCTTTCAGGAAATTTATAATTGGGGGTAATAAGCTGTTTTGTAGCCAAAAATTGAGATTTATCATGTGTGTGCCAAAATTAAGACAGACAGCAAGTGGTTAAAGGAAAACATTCATACTGTCAGTATACAACAATGAAAACAGTTGGATTGGCTCTGAGATCTGTTACGCTGGTCTGCCTGCAGATCACATGACTGACTAGTGTGGTCAGCTGACTATTGTTTACAGACTGAGCAGAGGCATGATGCTGCGTGCAGGGAGTCGCCTTGCTGCTGGGCTGCTGAGAGTCCCCCATAGCTATGCACAGCTTAGCAGGCTGGTGTCCCTGTCTGTGGCCCCTCAGTCTGGGCTGGCAGATGACAGGCTACATATCACAGTGCAGGGACTCAGCCCCAAACAGCAGGTGACACTGAGAGCTTTAGCAGTGGATGAGCAGGGCTGCATGTTTGACTCCTGTGCTCACTATGAGGCTGACAGCTCTGGCAATGTGGATCTGCAAAGGCACGCCTCCCTCGGAGGGGACTACACAGGGGTTCTGCCTATGGGGCTGCTCTGGAGCCTGTCTCCCTCCATCATGGAGAAGCCCTTTCAGAGACTGGAGAACAGAAGTGTCATGAAATCCCCCATCATCATAGAGCTGTTGGTCCACAAGGGATACACGGATCCCAGAGCTCTACCAGGGCAGGTGGCAGCTAAGACTAAAATCGAAAGACAGTTCTATGCCCCGGGAGTGCGAAGAATCAGGCTGAGAGAGGGGGCAGTTCGGGGCAGCCTGTTTTTACCTGCAGGTAATAATATTTGTCTGAGGCATGACGTATTTTATTTCAATGTGTTGCTTGTTACTGGAAATGTTTATAATTCACGAAAGGAAGTAAAACATATTATCTGTATGTTATTTGTTTTTCTTTTATATATAAAATGTAATTCATTAAATTTATCGGATGGAATTTCACTGCCTAAAACGCAGGGGTGTTGCTTGGATTGTGAAAGACCCTGGGCACCCAGAGGAACAGAATGAAGCAGTGTGCGTTGCACCAAATGGTGGTTGTGGTTAATCTGTGCTTACAGTGTGAGGGGCTTCAAGGAGCGTGGTTAAAAAAAGCACTCTTAGGCCTTATTCACACTAGAAATGACCGGCGCGTACAGCTCCGTGCTGCGTGCACGGCTGTATCGAGCAGCTCCCGGGAAGGACAGGTGCTGCATGTGATTAGTACGCAGCCCCTGTTCTTCTCTATGGGAGTACATGGCCATATGCTGCCGCACGCTGCCATACGCTCACCCGCCCTGCACGTCTGTGCGGGTGTCCGTACTCGTACGCTGACAGGATGGATCCTGTCTGTGTCCGAGCCGGGACACCCACACCCGTACGGACCTGCACTTGGGGTGAGCGTAGGGCGGCGTGCACGGCCGCATCGGGCAGCTCCCGGGAAGGACAGGTGCTGCATGTGATTAGTATGCAGCCCCTGTCCTTCTCTATGGGAATATGCGGCCGTAGGCCGCCCTACGATCACCTCAAGTGCAGGTCCGTATGGGTGCGGGTGTCCCAGCTCGGACGCAAACAGTATCCATCCTGTCAGCGTATGAGTATGGACGTGCAGGGCGGGTGAGCCTAGAGCGGCGTATTCCCATAGAGAAGGACAGGGGCTGCGTACTAGTCACACGCAGCACCTGTCCTTCCCGGGAGCTGCCCGATACGGCCGTTCTGCACCCACAAAATATGCTTTTATTACTGTGCCACAAACAAGAGTCTGCCAAACACGTAAAGCACACTTTTTAAAAAGTGAAACTCTTCCATTACATAAGCTTTTTTGCACACTGCCTTTCCTATAGAAGAACTTCATTAAAATAGTCAGTGACCACTTAGCCCAGCTTACAGATTGCAGTGGTCAGGAGAATGAAATGTACAACAAAGTGTATAAAGTGCAGCGGTCAGGAGGGAATAATGCACAGAGTGCAGGGCTCAGGAGTGTATAACACATAGAGAGTGTAGGAGTCAAGAGTGCATAACACACAGAGCGCAGTGTTTAGGAATATGGGGTATGGAATGTACAACATAGAGCAGGGGGTCAGGAGTCCATAATGCACAGAGCACAGTGCTCAGGAATATGGGATATGAAATGTACAACATACTGCATATAGTGCAGGATGTCGAGTCCATAAGGCACAAAGTGTAGGGGTCAAGAGAATGTAATGCATATAATGCAGGGGTCAGGAGTATTTAATGCACAGAGCATGGGGGTCAGGGGGATGTAACACAGAGGGCAGGTGTCAGGAGTAAATATCTTAAATTAATGTAAAATATCTCTCCATGTTTTCACAATGATATCACATTCCATTCACAGGGGAAGGATCATTTCCCGGAGTCATTGACATGTTTGGTGATGAAGGTGGTTTGGTGGAATATCGTTCCAGTCTTCTAGCCAGTCACGGATTTGCTTCTTTGGCCCTGCCATATGTGGCTTTTGAAGACCTTCCACCAGCAATGACCGAATTTCACCTAGAGTACTTTGAAGAAGCTGCCAAATTTCTATGCCGGTATCCTAAGGTAAGAAATTAACTGAGCTGTACTATAAACTGTGATTGACAGCTGAGAGTAATGTTGGCATCCCTATGATGCAATTTGAAGGGGTTCTTATAAATGGAAACAGGAAAGATTAAATTACCTTCCTCTGAATCAAGTGGAGTATTTTATATGGGCAGCACAGTGCCGTAGTGGTTAGCTCTTCTGCCTTGCTGCACTGGGTGTCCCTGGTTCAAATCCTGGCCAGGTCACTATCTGCAAGGAGTTTGTATGTTCTCCCTGTGCTTGCGTGGGTTTCCTCTCGGTACTCCAGTTACTGCCAAGACATGCTGGAAGGTTAATTGGCTCCTGTCTAAATTTGCCAATCGTATGTATGCATGTGAGATAGGGACCTAAGATTGTAAGATTGTAGAGACCGATGTGAATGTACAATATGTAAAGCGCTGCGTAAATTGTCAGCGCTATAGAAATACCTGTAATAAATTATAGGTTTAATGTGATATATCTAATTGTAAAGGCAAGCGTTAATGGTTTTGGGTCAAACTTATTTTTTTTAAAAACTGATATTTTAGATCTTTTTTAGATTATTATAAAATCTTTATTTCACAGATACATTATTTAAATCACATTTTGCAGAGAATTCTAGCTTTTGTAAAGGTAGATTACAACAGAAGCTTCTTCAATTGTGACTCTCTCTCTAAGTTCCCTTTCACACGGGCTGATCAGGAGGGTATCTGTGCATGGATCCCCTCCTGATCAGAGCAGTACGGATTGGATGTCACTGCTGTGTCTGTGTCCATCCAGTTTTTTCTTCCACGTTGCGATTTGAGAAAAAAACTGAAATGACCTGATCCCATGTCGGTGTATGGAGAATTGGATGTAAATGGACATGTGTCTGTTTACATCAGGGACAAGCGGTTAGGGGAGGCAGGTGAGGCAGAGCCTCACCTAGTATTATGGAGAAAAAAGCTGTCAGTGTTAAGTCTAAAGCTGACAGCTTTTTCTTCATTCGTAGCGGCTTGTAACAGGTTACACAGTAGGGAAACCCTCCCCGCTGTGTAACCTGTCATGGACGGAGCGCTGTCTGTTAATTACAAGCAGCACTGCAGCCGGCTTTTGACAGCTAAGTTCGGGTTACACAGCAACGGGCTTCCCCACTGCTTGTGTAACCTGACATAGTGAGGCCAGAGCTTCAACAGCCTCTACCTAGTGTTAGAGGCTTAAGCTCTGTGGATGGTTTGGACCAATGGCGAAGCGTCATTGGTTCAAGCTGTCCAATCAAAAAAAAGTAAAAAACCCCACTGAGAACATCGATCTCGATGCCTCGCAAGTGAGGGACAGGGAGGCTCCTCACTCCTTCGTCCACACATAGCTCAGTGACTGGGTTGGGG